GGGGGGGGGGGGGGAGACGCAAAGTATGGGGAAGAGAGTGAGCAAAGGCCGGACACTGTGAAACACACCAGACCAGCCCAAGGGGCGGGACGAAGAGGGGCGAAGGGCGGCGGGACAAAGAAGAACAAGGCAAAGGAGAGATGATGCGGATGACGATGACGACGAGGGACGCACGCGGATCTTCAGCGACGCGGTGGTCGGGCGCTTCCGGTCATCGACGGTGGTATCCTCGGGGAAGAGGTTGCGCAGGAAGGGCACATTGGTGGACTGCATCAGGACAATCAGATCCTGGAAGAGGGTGTCACGGTTGGACTCGCAGAAGCCATTCGCGTCGTAGGTGACATTACCGGCGTAGTGGCGCACGGTGAAGGCATTGGACAGGCCGATGAAGTGCTTGTTGTTGATGAGCGACGAGGCCTTGTTGATGAAGGTCACATCGGCACCATCGGTCTGGGCGTGCATCTGGGCGCACACATCATCCAGCACGGCCATGATGCCGACCGGGCGCTTCTCCTCGATCAGCTCGCACACAATCTTGTTGTTGAAGAAGTCGATCGGGGTCCACTGGATACCCTCGCGGGCATACTCGTCCTGCTCGGCGCGCAGGGTGAGCTCAATGAAAATCTGCTGGAGCTTCTCATTGACGTAGTTGATGCAGAACTGCTCGAAGCCGTTGCGGTCGAAAATCTCGAACCCATAGATATCCAGCACACCGAGGCACATGGACTCGCCCTCCTTCCGGAGCTGGGCATTGACCGCATAGACAATCCAATCGAACATGCGCGTGTAGATGGACTTCACCAGGGCATCACGGGTGAAGTTGGCCTGGTCCACATTGAGCGGGACCTCGTAGATGGAGGTACGACCACCCGGGGCACGGGTGATCATCTGCCGCGAGGTGAGCTTCAGGTTGAGCGCATGCGCATCGATGCCCAGCAGGTAGGCCGGGAACTCCAGGGCCTCGGGCTTGGACACGCGGGAGTTGGTCCCGTCCTCCATGAACTGGATGTTGCCCATGTGAAGGATGCCGGCCACCAGGCGCAGCATGGCCTCCTGGTCGGAGGGCGAAATGCCGCACACGGTCATGGCATTGCGGGTCTCCTTGAAGTCCTTCTCATCGTCCTGGCCGTCGGCATCGAAGGTGCCACTCATGTTCAGGTAGTGGAAGTACTGGCAGTTGACCAGGCCGAGGGACTCTGTGTGTGTGTGTGTGTGCGTGTGTGTGTGCGTGTTTGAGATAGGAGGAGGAGGAAGGGTGAGGTGCAAGTCAGCAGGCAGGGGCGATGGTGCCGATGGAGATGTCAGTGGTGGCAACGTGGACAATGCACAAGAGGGCCACCAACGGGTGGAAACAGGACATGGAGGGGGAGGGGGGAGGAAGGGGGAGGGGGAGGGGGATAACGCCGCCGGCAGCCAGTACGCACCCTTCTCAGCCGGGGAAGCACCCAGCACCAGCTGGTAGAAGATATGGAAGTTACGCTCGCCCTTCTGCTGGTAGGTGACGCGGGACTTCTCCAGAAGGAAGTTGGAGATCTTGCCGCCGTCGGGAATACCACCGCGAGAGAACTCGATCTGGAAGTACTTGCCGAAGCGCGAGGAGTTGTTGTTACGCAGGGTCTTGGCATTGCCGAAAGACTCCAGCAGGGGGTTGGACTCGATGATGATGTCCTTGATCTTCTCCAGGCCCGGGGCCTTGGGGGCCACACCGGCGATGTACTGGATGATGTGCTTCGCGGCCACGGTCTTACCGGCGCCAGACTCGCCGGAAATGATGACACACTGGTCCTCGCCCTCGATCAGCATCTCACGGTACATGTGGTCGGTGATGGCCCAAATGTGAGGAGGCACCTCGTGGGGGGTCTAACCGGGTGGAGGGGGGAAAGAGTTGCCGAGAATGGGGCGTCAGGCGAGGAGCGAGCACAGCACATGGAGGGCAGGAGAGCAGGGGGGGGTAGAAGGAGGAGATGATGATGATGATGATGATGATGATGATGATGATGATAGCGGTGTGTGCATGATGAGCCCGCCAGTGCACAGCAGGCCAAAAAAAAGAAGAAGGACAAGGGGGAGAAGGAAAATAATCCACGCACGCAGTTCTGGTACATCTCCATCTCGTTCTCCGAGTAGTACGGCAGGTACTTGAAGGGGTTGACCACAATCAGGATGGGCCCGATGTAGGTGTAGATGAGGTCATCATTGAAGCGCTTCTTCAGGTTGTCGCAGATGGCATCCTCGGCAATCTTGGTCAGGAGGACCATGTCCTCCAGGCCGGACTGTTTGCCGGCCTTGGAGTCCCACTCGTGACGCTTGAACTGGCGAGTGCAGAGGAGCGGGGAGGGCAGGGGGGGAGGGACATGCCAGGGAGATGGTCAGCAAGCAGGCCGGGCCGGTGGTGGTGGCGACGAGGCGGGAGAGGCCGGCGTACCATGTTCACAAATGGGGAAGCGAAGTGGTCACTGGGCGGCGGAGCAACAGAGTGAGGGGGGGGGAGGAGGAGGAACATGTGAGCGATGTTAGCCGAGAGCCAACGGGGAAGATGGCAATGCCTGGGGAGAGGGGAGAGGGGGGCAGACAGAGGGAGGAAAGGGGAGGGAGAGGGACACAATTGCCCCCGAGGCCGGGGCGTCGGGGCAAGTGTCGGCGCGGATGAAAAACAACAAACAAAGCCAGATGAAAGGGGAGGGGGGGAGAAAGATGGGCCGAAGAAGGGGAGGGAAGGACGAGGATCAGGCAGGGCGAAGGCGAGAGGCGGGGCAGTACAGTGTCGGGCTGGGCGAAGCGGGTGTTCAGGGGATGGAGGAAGAGGGGGGAGGGAGGGGAGGGGGGGGAGAAAAGCAACAAGGCCCTTCAGAGAAAACAGCGATGCCAGCTCGGCTGGGACCAGCCGGTCTGGCGCGGCGGCCCTTGATCAGACCAATCTGGTCTGTGACCGCGACCGGGGGAGGGGGGGGGGGCGGGAGCCGGGCGGGATATGCCCCAACACCGGTGCCCACTCCCTCCACCCTCGGCCCCTACCGGCCGTTGTTCAGTGGTGGGGCAGGATGGCGGCGGCGGCGGCGGCGGCGGCGGCGGCGGTGGTGGTGGCGGCAGCAAGAGTGTCCAGGCACGGCTCCCTAACCCCCCTTCCGCGCCGACTGTCCTTCCCTCGGAGGGGGGCGCGGCAACCCGCTAGTAGGGGGCCAAGTTCCGGGCAGCCACTTGCTCTCCCGTGCCAGGGGGCGGGAGAGATCAGAGGGGGGGGGGGAGCAGGGCGCGCAGCAGAACACACGCACAGGCTGGCGTTTGCCTGCCCCCCCCCCCCCCCCCCGCACCCCCTCCCCTCACCCTCTCCCTACCACCGGGGCGCCCTAGACATTTGTGTACGCCAGTGGTGCCCCAACCCCTCGCGGGGCGTCCTGGTGGGATGCCGTTTCTACGCCCCCTTCCCCCCGGTGGCGGCCGTGGCCGCGGCTGGGTGCGGGGCGCGGCAGCCGCGGCGGACATTGCTGCGGCCTCCATCACACATGGCGGTCTATGTGTGTGTGTGTGTGTGTGTGTGTGTGTGTGTGTGTACGCGCGCACCCGCGCGCGGAAACCGGGGGAAGGCAAGTCTCGCTGACCATAAGGCTGGAGCACCATCGGGGCGCCCCGAAGAGCCGGATGCCTCCAGAAGACCGCAGGTTGAGGGGCGAGGGCGGCCCCCGGGCGTTGGCCAGTATCTGTGTGTGTGTGTGTGCGTGCGAAGGCCTGCTCGAGGGGACTAGGAATGCGCCAGGCCGCGCCAGGAGCTGAGCGAACAGGAAAGCCAGAGGACCGCACCACCACCCCAAGGGGCCCAAATAACAACAACGGCAAGCATGCGCACCAGGCGCACTGGCCTGCCTGCCTGCCTGCCTGCCTGCCTGCCTGCCGTCAGCTGACAAAAGCCAAGAGCCCTCACCCTGGCCAAACTGGCGAGAGAAAAAAAAAGCTCAGGATCCACCGGCCGACCGAGGGTGTCGGGAAGGCAGGTGCGGATAGCGGTGGCCCCGCCCTTCCCCCCGCCCCTCCCCCCGCCGAGAAGGCCCCGTGTGAGGGAGAAACAAAAACCAGCAGGCACGCCGCCCTCAGAGGCTGGGAAACCCAACCTCCCGCCCCCGCGCACACGGCGCGTTCCATGCCCAGCCTCACGAAGGAGGTGCCCGCAGGAAAGGGGTCAATTGGCACCAAGCATGCACAGGTCAGGGCATTCTCCCCCCCGGCGGACCCCGCGCTCGCGCCCCGGGAAAGGGAGGGCTCTCGACGACGACGACGACGGCCAGGGCGCCTGGCCTGGGAGGGCTATTGACTGAATAAATAATCATTGTCAAGATAGATGTGTGTGTGAGTTCAGGAAGGGGAGAGAGGGAGAAAGAGCCCCCCTTCCCCCCCCTCCCCTCCCGGCCTCCGCAGCACCCCTGCCTCCCCTGTCCGGTGCGGGCCGCACCCGGTGCTGGAATGTCGAAATGAATATGCACCGCGAGCATTTTTCGGCCACCCATTCCCAGAGCGCCCCCATCTCGTTTTCCTCCTCAGGCGGCCTTTCTTCCGACCCGAGGAGGGGGGGGGGAGGGGGGGACGCCGGCGCGCGCGCGCCCGCCCGCCGCCGTTCCCCAAGACCCAGATACTCGCCAGCCCCGGGGGCATTCCTACAACCCTAGTAATGCTCCCGCATTCTGGCGGGCCTGTGCCCCCGCCTGCCCGCCCCCTGGAGCTGGCGGGGCCGGCGGCGGGCGGGGGCGGGGGAAGGGCCGGGGTCGGGCGGACTGGGCGGCGTACGCTCCCATCGGCAAGCCAAGGACGGCCGCGTCTCGCCCGTGCTGTCCCTGTTCCGCCGCCCCCTCCGCGGCTCCGGGCCCGGGCGGCTGAATGTTCCCGGGAGGTCGGGCAGCGGGGCCCTCTCGCGCCCGGGCGGGTCTGCGCCGCCCGACACACAGCCTTCCGGGTTTACTGGGGCTCTGCTGAACTCCTCAGGCCCCAACGGTCCAGGCCGGGGGGGGGGGGGTATTCCGCCGAGGCCGTCCCCCCTCCTCCCCGGCGCGGCAGCAAGCGCCCCCTGTCTGAGGGAGGCCGGGGCCAGGGGGGGGGAGCCGCGGTGGCCAGACACTTGTAACTGCCGGGCACACTGTCAGGTCTACGTCTTGTCTTTGCGAGGCTGGGACCCGCAGGGCGTGTGTGTATTGTGCATGTAAACAGGAGAAGGCCCGGGGGATCCGGGGGGGGGGGGCGTTATTTTCCCTTCCGCAGGCAGCGCATGTCTAAGGGCCGGCGGCCGCCGTTCACGGGCACACCTGTATACAGGGACAGGAATGCAAAGTGCACGATGGTCACATGCGTGCGTCGAGTCGCACATGACCACCTCATTCTATCCCACAAGAACCGTTCCCGGGCGCTGTTCTGCCTTCGGGCCTGTGTGCGTGTGTCTGTGTGTCCCAAGAGAGCAAGAGAGAAAGAGGGGGGGGGGGGAGAGGGGGGTTTCTCTCATGTATACGCACGGACACCACCATCCCCCCGGCCCCCCCCCCTCCGCGCCCCGTCGCCCTCCCCCGAAACACACACACACACACGCACACTAGCACGCCAGACAGCATCACAGCACCACCGACGCGGCGGATGTCGTGCGCAGGCTCTCCAGGTACTTGGAGTCAACCAGCAACTGGCCAATGCTGTCCACGAAGGAGCCCTGCATGTCCAGCGGACCGACCCCCTGCAGGAGCCCATGACGATCGGCCTCACTCAGGGCGTCCATGCTGGCCAGGTAGGCCTCGATGGTGCTCTGGGCAAAGGTCGGCATGTCGACGCTGGAGAAGATCCGGAACAGCAAGGCCAGGATGTCCTCACGCAGGAGCTCATGCCCCCGGTGGTTGAGCACCCGCATGAGCTGCATGGCAAAGGCATGGCACTGGCGAATGACCTGCTGGTCCGGCAGGGAAAAGAGCCGCCGGGTTTGATCCAGCCGGCCCAGCCGGGCCAGGTTATCCCGGAAAATGCCGATGTCTGAGGATTTGAAGGGAAGCTGCGCCAGGTCCAGCAGCCGGTAAAAGGCCTGCCCCCCGGGGGACACGCTCTCCGAGGCGGTGGCCTCCGGCTGGAGCTGGTGCCAGCGGCTGTCCAGCAGGGCGAAGACCAGCTCGAAGAAGCGCCCGGCCACATGGTCGGCCGCGGCGCGGGCCCCATCGCTGAACAGAGCCGGAGCCAAGTCCCCGAGGACCAGCTGCACAATGCTCCCGGTCAAGGCGCCGAGGCTGCTGCTGCGTGGGCCGCTCTCCACAATGAGAGTCAGCAGCTGCAGCAGCTTGTTGATAATGTCGATGGAGGCCGGCGTGCCGCCGGCCAGGTGCTGGAGGAAGCTCTGGTTCCCCCCGAGCAGGGCCAACATGACGCCGACCATCTCCCCGACATACTCGACTCCGAGGTCCAGGCGCATGGCCACGAAGAGCTCCAGCTGGAAGTCAATCAGCCGCTCGAGGACATCTGACAAGTGTGCGTGCGTGCGTACGTGCGTGCGTGCGTGCGTGCCTACATGTTAGCAATCACAGAGAGAGGAGGGAGGGGCCGGAACGAGACAAGGGCAATTCCCCACACACCCCCCCCCTCGCGCAAGTGGACAAAAAACCGCGCGCCGACACATACCATATTCCGATGCGTAAATCTTCAGCAGGTTGATCGTAGACGGCAGCAGCGGGCGCACTGCCTCCAACACCACAGCCTTGCTGGTTTTGGACTCGGCCGCCACGGCCGACACACATGCCCCCAGGGTGGACAGAGCCTCGCAAATGAGGGCACGCACATCCGGCGCCTTGTAGAGGCCCTGCTCGTGGAAGCCCGGGGCCGCGGCACGCTGCAACGGGGCCGTCAGCCCCGAATCCCCGAGAACCACCTTGGCAAAGAGGGCCGCCCGGTTGTCCCACGCCTGCGCCGGGTCCTTGGCGGCCATCTGCTGGAAGGGCAGGGCAATGGCCGTGGTGGCGGCCATGAACACCGCCGAGCGGACTTCGATCGAGGTTTGGAAGATACCACGCGCCAGGGCCGGCAAATCCCCGGCCCCAGGGGCCGCATATGCCGGGTACCGATCGCGCGAGGCCACCGTCAGCAGATCCAGCAGCTGCGGAGCCAGGGCTTCCAGCAAAACCGGTAGCCGGACCGCCCGGGCCAGAGCCAGCAGGAAGGGCGCCACCGCCAGCCCGAGAACCGAGTCGTCGGTGGTGTAAAGCACCGACACCGCCAGCTTGATCTGGTGGAAGAGCAATTCGGCGGCCGCCGCCGCTTCGGGAGTCCGCTCGGCCGGGGTCGACGCACCGCCCAACCCGCCGCCCGTGGAGGAAGTCCCCCCACCGGAGGCCGGCCCCGTGGAGGCCAACGCCGCGGCCTGCCAGCCGGCGAAGGCAGCCAGCGTGGTGAACAGCTGCACGGCCAGCTTGTTGAACTGCTCACTGCGCCGGTAGAGGGCGAAGTTGTGCAGGAAGGTGCCCAGCCCGAGGAGCTTGTCCTTCAGCAGGGTCAAGATCGTGGGGAAGGTGCTTTCGAAGAGGCTGCCGCTCGACAGGAAGACGCTCGACAGCCGGGCCAAAATGCGCAGGTGAGACCGCAAGTCGCGAGTGAGGGCCAGTGCGCGGGATGCATCTAGCCGGATGGGCATCATCATGGGCGAGAAGGTGGTCAGATAATCCGGGGTGAGCCACAAACACAAGGGGACACATATTGGCGGGCAATTCCTCGTCCCCCATCCCGTCGCTGATCTGCCATGCTGTGGTGCAGGCAGAGACGACAATGAAATCAATGCATGGGGGGGGGGGAGAGAGAGAGAGGGAGAAAAAGGCCAATCTCCGAAGGAACGCCTCCCGATGAAAGGCAGAAGGAAGGCAGCGGCGAGCAGACAACCAACTCCGAGACGCACCCGAGGTCAATTGCTCACGGATCATGAACTTCGCGAGGTCCTCCTCCAGCAGGGGGAAGGTGATGTTGAGCGTCTGAACTGGCAGCAGGTCGCCGACCTTGCCGATGATGCTGACGCAAGAGGACAGGAAGGTGTCCCACTCGGATTGGGCATCGCCCTCGACCTCGTCATCATCCAGGGACAGGAGCTCCGGGGCATTGTGACGGAAGAGGACCTTCTGCAGAAGGGCCTCCACGAAGGCCAGCAGCCCGCCGGCATAGGGAGCCGCGGCCTCCTGGGCACTTTGCAGCGAGGACCCCTCCTGCGGCTCGAGCAGCCGGTCCAGGAAGGTCTCCCAGATGTCCAGGCAGGATGACAGGGCCTCGATGTCCGGCTGCATGAAGGTATACGTGAAGAGCAGGCCCAGCAGGGCGAACACCGGCTGGGAGGTGGCATCCGGGGCGCCGGCCCCGGAGCCGGCCCCAGCGGCAGCCACCCCGCCCAGGCCGATGGCCTCCGAGGACATGGTCTCGAATCGCCGGAGGTGCTGGCTCACGAAGAGGCCCAGGAAGTCAGTCAGGCGCTCGCGGTATTGCGAGTCCAGGGCGCGGATGACCTCCGGCGAGGGGGCCCCCGCCGGGTCGGCCGTCAGCGACTGCAGCAGACGGAAGACATCGCCGAAGATCTGCACCAGGAAGCCATCCAGGTCGCGGGGGATGCACGACCGGCCGAGGATCTCATTGACGCACTCCAGGGCCTGGGCACCGAGCTCGGCCGACGTGCTGTCCACATGTAGAACCACATATTGGAAGAGGGACTGCACCAGGCGCCGGTCGACGAATTCATTGAGCGGCACCCAGGACAGAAGCTGGCTGACCACGGTCAGGGCCTGGGCCACACACCGGGCGATCATCGGCGGGAACCGAAGGCGCGCATTCCCACGGGCAGTCCCATCCGACTGGCAGGCGATGCGAGCCTGCTCATGCGTGCTGTCCAGCACGCGCAGGACCAGATTCATGATGGCGGTCGCATTGTCGTACAACAGCTGCACATGAGCCGGCGGGGTGGGAGGGGGGGGGGGGGGGGGTCAGCAACTGGGGCCAGCATCAAGATCGCTGCATGGGTGTGGGTGTGTGCAGGGGGAGAAGGAGGAGGAGGAGGAGGAGAAGAAGGGAGGCGCATACCTTGCGCATGGAGTTACGCAGATGCGATGGGAGGTCGTCCTTGACGCTGGTACACTCTTCGCAAATCATCAGCAGCATGGCCAGGCCCAGGAGCTGGGCTGGGCTACCACAGGCCGGATCCAGTAGGCTCAGGGCCTGGTCGATGGACTGCGGGGCATCGGCCAGGTTCGGGCGATTGGTCAGGAAGCAGGTGGCCAGCTGGAAGAGCGAGTCGAAGCCGATGGTCAGATTGTGCTTGCCCATGTCGACGCAGAGCTGCGTCAGCTTGGTGACAATGAAACGCGGCAGCCCGGCGTCCATGGCGTCCGGTTGGGCGCTGACTGCCTGGATGTGCCGGAAGAGGGTGTCTCGGCAGAAGCACCAGATGGTCGTGCGGTCGGCGTCGCTGAGGTCGCGCCAGTTCCGGGCAACAACTCGCTGGAGTGCGAATGGGGCAATGGACAGGAGAGGAGTCAGCCTGGCGGAATGCAAGAGGGGGGGGGGGCGGAGGAGCGGAGGGGGGCTCGCGGGGGATTGGCGCACCCCGATGATGAAGATCGCGAAGTATTGGGCCTTCGGATCGGAGGGCATGTCGAAGGCCTGAATAGCCAGCTGCCAAACATTTGGCGTGGCACAGAAGCCCATCAGCTCCTCTGCGCATTGGCGACCGGTCGTGGGAGAGCGGGAGACGCGGGGCAAGGAAAGGAGAGAAGGTCAGCAACGGAGCCACCCGATGGGGAGGGGGGAGAGCGGGGAGGGCGAAATCCAGACGGGATCGGCGCGCACCCAGCAGGCCCGGGGAGGTGTATCCATTGGTAAGGGGAATATAGAGGCGAGACAGCGCCTCATTGAACCACTGTTGCTGAGAGGAGGCGAGGCCAAGCGTGAGAGGACGGGGGGGGGGGGCGGAGGTCAGCAGGGGAATGGGCCGGACTGGGGAGGG